GTCGTGGTGGAAGATGTTTACAAATCCCATGGCCCTGTGGGCTAGCTACACTGGCAAATTATCAGAAGCCTCTCGAACCACTGTCTAGTCATCCTTCTAAGGGAGCAGTCCACACAGTTGGCACCTAGAAGCATGTCTAGGTTAAAAAAAAGTGCAGACAAATCCAAATCCCTCTGTCTGTGCTCCCAGCAGGATGGGTACAAGCCAACTCTGGTCCAAAACCTGCATAGCTGTGTTATGATTAGTGAGTATATTAGTTAGGACATGGTGCTGTGCTGACTTGGCAAGGTGGCTTCCAGATGGGAACTGGCTTAGGTTCATCTGGCCCAGGGAACAGGCACTACATGCTCGACTCTTGTCTGCTCCTGCCCATAGTGGCATGCAGAAGAGAATTAGAGTTACAGATTTCAGCCCAAAGCCACCACAACCTGACAGCTTTGGTAGCCTACAAGAACGCAAAGATCTCATCGCAGATACGGACCTGCTCAGATGGCAGGATGTGACAAATAGTCAACCCAGCATGCAGACACATTAGAGGGTACAAGCATATTGTTCAGAGCTGAAGATAGGTTTGCTGGCTGTCTCGCGATGCAGTATTGCTCAGCTAGGACTGCGTCCACTTTAAAATGAGGAAGAGGTTGGGATATCATTCTCTGGATTAACATTGATATGACTTGTCCCCATATAAGATCCTGCTCTCATTTATTTAGTAGACAAAGAGGCCAGTGTATGCTTTGGGCTGGTTTTAAAGATAATTTTCTTGACAAATTACTAAAGGGTCATTTTTTCGTACAGCACAGAGATGACATCCTCCCAGTGGTCTTCTGAACTATCGGTCAGTGGCTCCATCACTTCAAGCTCCACAGCAGATGGGTCAACGTATTCTTCAGATATGTCCTTTGTGGGTTTATCTCATCCTGCCTCTGTCATGGGGACCACAGAGATGCCCAGTCTGGCACAATCTTCTGGCTTGACTCAGGCTTTGCAAAGGAGAGCCATAGGTAAGCCTCTGGAGACTCGACTGCCTTGTATTTAGGACAGAAAAACACAGCACTTTATTTGTCCATATGCACACAGTATGAAAATATAACCCTATAGCTTGAGAGGAGGCTTTGGTTATATTTCAACTAGTGGAATGGAGCAGCCCACATCCCGTTTCACATCCCACTCTTGGGCTGGGACTGATCATGTCTCCAAACATGAGAGTGGCAGGTGGCAGAGAATATGCCTGTGTTCCCTGGACTAAGTGTTCTTATTTCCTTGTGTTTCACAACAGGTATAGCCGCAATAAGGACTCAATATGTAAAAAGAACCTTTTATTTTCATGCCTTAAGTTATACTAGGCTTAGCCTTCCCATGTAGAAAAATCTGCGACTGTGCTCCAAACAGCGCGTAGATGCCTGGAGGAGGTTTGTGGCAAGCTGTGTGTACATATTCCGGGAGCTGTGACTGGCCCAGAATAAGCTGCTGAACAGTGAGCATCCAGCTCTTCCCTGTTGCAGGGGTTATGATTGTTTCCAAATAACAGCCAGGGCTGAGAGCAGCCCCGATGCCAGCGGAGGTTCTGCACCCTCTGCCTCCCTCCCCGTGTCATTTTCTCCAGTGTTGTGTTGTGAGACAGAGGGCAGTGACACCAGGGGTCTTGCAGCAGGGCACTGCTGATGGGGCAAAGGCCCAGTCTTTGCACTTGGCCACTGGATCTTTTTGGCTCCCACAGAGACATGGCAAGTCCAAGAAGAAACTGGTGCTGGGTGGGGATTTGTGTGAGTGCTGCTCTGTGCGAGGGAGGCTCATGAGAAAAGGAGGGCAAATCTCTGTTACATGCCTCTACAGTGAAACAGAGCATATTTGCCCCCATAGATTTTTAAATGCTCTTTAGTTACTTCAACACAGACTAGAGCAACAACGCTAATCATATTAGGGGGTTTGCTCAACATCCTGTGAAAAAGGGGATGCAGCACAGCTCTTGAAACACAGCTATGACTAGAGTTTCTAGTCAGTGGGAAATTCTGATATTTTGGCATTTGGTTTAGACCTGCACAATGATAAAAATGGAAATACTGACATTTTTGGGGAAACAAAAAAAATTGGATTTTTTATTCTTGTGGTACCTAGATACTGATCTGTGTGCCTATGCACCCATTTTTCTAACCTTAGTAACTTCGGAATACATGGACCAGTTTCTCCCTCCCAGGTTGGCATGGGGAGAGATCCTACAGGTTTTCTGAAAATTGACAGTCAGGCATGAGAGATAGTTAGTGCTCCTATTGAAGAAAAGGTTGATATGTCCTTCGCTCCTTCCCATTTATTAGCCACCAGAGAACCCACATGATGCCAGGGCAGGGGGATGGGGAAGCAGAATGAAGGGAAAAAGTCATTAGAAACCAGGCTTCATTAATTCAGCTGCTCGGGGAACAGCGTGTTTGGAAAGGTTGAGATGTTTCATTTGCCCTAAACAAAATGCTTGGACGTTCTTCAGTTGAAATGTTTCATTCCTGCCTATTGAACCAAATCAAAACACTTAGCTTTGGTGAAGCGCTGTAATGAAGAGCTTGGGAGGAGCAGCTGCAGCTTATTCTAGCAGCACTTGTCTGCCCCAGAGTTGGGAGAGGGTGACATTCCTTTTCCAAGGGTGCAGTGTTGATCATCTCCAACGTACTGATGAATTAAGATGGATTTCACCCTAGGTATTAGAAAACAACGAAAAACCCCAATCTGACTGCTGTCCGAAAGAAGTGTATGTCCTCCTGCCATGAACAGCTGTCTGAATGGAAAAAGAAGTTGTGAAAATGTTTTAATGGCCCAGTCTTCTAGGGAAAAGAGGCTGATGTGACCTGCCTCTGTGTGTGTGTGAGTGCATGCTCACGTTTGTCTGTCCTCCCAGTTGTGTCTTTAGTTAATGATCCACTTCAAACAAATTTGGGCATGTTTATACATGTGATACAGGGTAGATACGTGGAAAGCAGTGGGCCTCTGCTGTTCCACCCTTTGGAACATGAGCTAGCCACTAGCCTCAAGTCCTTTCCTCCTGTTTCCCATATGTGTATCGGTGAACGATGAAGCATGTTAGACAGCAGGATTTGTTGACAGACCCCTTCTCCCTCCACACCATTGCCTGGAAGTGGAAAACTGTGATTAAAATCATTGCCCTGATTTGGATAGGGTGAGTTTGGACTCAGAGCCTCTTCTCTCTTAGGAGAGCTTTCTAAGCACTCTACTACGAATTTTGGGGTATAGATATCCCTAGCTGTGGCATGACACAGCAAAACGGCACAAAAAAAGGAAGGGAGAGCCTACAGGGCAGAGCTGGTGAACTAGTTAAGGCAGCTTAATGACTGATGGAGATGGGGTTTCCCGGAGTTCAGGGTGCCACAGGACAGGAGGGTTTGTTTGCCGAAGAGATGCTCTTCTGGAGACTTCCCCTACAGCATTTTCCCTGCTGAGTGTAGTTTCCAAAGGAGCCCAAGGGAATTAGTCATTTGATCCCACTGAATTTCAGCAGTGCCAGGGCCCCTCCTAGAGGCTCCCCAAAAGCCCCTTTTAAGGATGCCAACAGCAACCATTGGTCTGATCTCAGGAACAGACTGGCTTGTTGACACATCAGTGAAAAGCAGCTTCAACACAGTCTGTTCACCCTGCGGCTGCCAGTTCGGCTGCCGCTCTGAGTGTTTGATCTAGCAAAGGCTCCAGCTCAGAAAAACAAAGCCCAGCGTGTCTCGTTCCCAGCTTAGGGAGCTCATTGCCCCTTGTGCTGTTTCTCTGCTGCTAAAACCCCTAATGCATTCTTTAATGTTTCCCACTTCGGTTCATCCTCAACCAAAGTCACATTCCGTGAAGCTGTACGCCAGCTGTAGCTTTCTCTTTAGACCGCTTGCAGTGTGGCGTTTCACCTCCTTCTTACCCCTGCGCTATTACGCTTGGCTGCCACTAACTGCCTGTTTACCACAGGCAGGTGAACCAGCACCGCTGTCCCAGGGCTGGAGCGGTGCTTCCCTGGGTATCCCAAGGGAGGGGATTACAAATGACGCTGGAAGAGCGCCTGCTGCTGTGCCACCACCATGACACGATGAAATGCACAGGGAGAAGGGACTACAGAATTTTTAACACCCTGTTTTTTTGTAATTTAAAAAAACTCATATGGAAAAAAGTAACACTGTAGACAAGGCTCTTAGGGAGCTGGTGAAGCTAATCTGCATTGCGGTGGTGCTGTCTGACCCAGACACTCATCCAAGCGAAGCTGATTTGTGCTCCAGTCATTTCAGAGCTAAGATGAGCTGAGGGATACATCTTCCCCCCCAAAATTTAGGCTGCTCCACCAGATCTGATTAGAGATAGACAGCCTGGTGGAGTGAGTCTTGTACAATACTCAAAATATTGAAGGAAATCTCAAATGCATAGTCTGAGAAACAGGCACTGAAAAGGATTTAGTTGGTTGGGGAGACTTTGATGTGGGAGATGAGAGAAGTTTTCCTGGTGAAAGACGAGGTCGCAGGGCTTGTTCCCTCTCTCTGGTTCTCTCTGCCTTTGCCGGGACGGGGAGCCCTGCATAGTCCCTCTTGGCCACTTATATTTGAAAAGGGGAACGAAGAGGGGATTAGGGGATGTTATCACTTTCATTTTGTTATTGGAAGGGAGCCTTAATATATTCGTTATCTGCTCACAGCTGATGCTATGCCGTCTAACAGCACGGAAATTGCAGGATGACAATTATACCACTGATGGCATAATTTATTGTTTTTTCGTTACCCAAGGTAATTCCAATGAGGTAATAAATCTATGTGTCAGTAAGAAAACACTCAATTTACCAGCTGTGCTGTATTTTACAGCCATGGGTTTAACGCTTTGAGACGAGCATTTGCTAAGCATCACTTTGCAATTAGAGGCAAAGAGGAAATTACATGTTCCATTTTTGTTACCAAAAAAAAATATTTGTTTCTCATAAGTTGTCGTTCTGTTAATATTGCATAACTCAGTGTCTTTGTGTTTTGCTTGCTCATCAGCTCAGCCCGAAGATGATATTGAAATACCAAACTGGAACTCTGCTCTGTCAAGAAACCTTAGCCTTTCAATGATGGTGTCAGGACAACTCCAGGACTGTTTCAGCCCTTTGTTCACTGACTCAGGAAAGATTGCCCGGAGCCCTGGATACATGGATAATCACGGAATGATTGCTTATGAGGACTACCAAAAGTCTGCATCCAGGTACAGGCACAGTTGGGGCTTTCCTTCATGTTATTTTTGTAGGGAATGGTGTTTGCTGTAGTATCTCCTTTAGAGGAGCTTCGAAACACAAGCAGACCCTTGATAAGAGGCTGAGTCATTATCCAGGAGGATACTGGAGAACATCAAAGGCTTTGAAATGTAACGATCTCACTTATTGCTTTAGGGACAACTGCCCCCAAAAGTGGACTTCACCCTCAGAAAGGGTAAATCACCCTTCATTCACCATGTCCCTTTCAATGTTTGTTAATACATTCTGCCCAGGCCTTCAAAGATACCTCCCTTGTGAAGGCAGTCCAAAAAAGGAGCAGAAACACTGTATCTCATGGCTGGTTTGGCCTTGTCTTCAACTGATCGCACCCAGTTTTGAATCCAAGAACAGAACTGATACTGCAGGGGACTTCAGAGGGTCCCACCATGTGGGCTGCATGAAGCTATTTGAGGCAGTGACAGGCAGCCAAAGGAGTCAACTGGGCTGTATGGGGTTTACACCCACCTAGAAATCCCATTAAAAAAATAAAGTGTTGTCTCCTGGAGAAGCTCCAGGTCTCCTGGTCCCAAAAAGGCATTTGCCATCTTTAATTTCGCTTCACATATACTAAAGGTATACTAAAGGTAGGGAATGACCTATCAAAACAGATCCTCAGCTGGTTTCAGTTATCTTGGATCTGTCTCCTTCAGAGAAATGACGACAGTTGACATCTCCAGTTTTCAGGCTAGCCCCTGTGTGGACACAGTCTCCTACAGACTATTTCCTACCGCGTTGTTCAGTGGATAGGCCTGCACATGCTTATTGCTAAGATTGCTTTCACGATACTCAACCTACATTTCTCCTTTTATAATGATATTTCACTGGTGATAGTTCAGCTGCATAAAGCCTTTGCCTTTTGGGGATTTTCCACCCACCTGCCCTAACCGTTCTTGTATCACATATCCCTGTGATTATCTGTTGAAGACAAGCATTTTATTTCCCTACAAATTAGCCCCTGGATCCTGGTATAATTTTTATACCCTTCTATAATGCCTTGTTAATTGTCAATATTTTTCTGGTGATGAGACGTCCTAAAATGAACCCAATACATTTTACTCTGGTCTCATGCCAGCCTAAATCCAGAGTTTCTAGCAGAGCAGTACTTAAAACAAAACAAAGCATCATGGATGAGGTTGCATGTTTGGTGCCTCAGGCCAAGATGTGAGGAGTGGATGAACTCTATGTTGCCTGTAGTAGAAGAGGGAGAACTCTATTTACCTGCATTTACTCCTAGGAGGAACTAGGAAGAATTTTCTTGTAGTCAGTGAAGCCTGGTCACATCAGGCACTGCTGCATGTGAACATCAGGATCGGTATTTCCACCTTCCCCTCTCCACAGCTGCACAAAGGGAATCTTCCGCTCTGTGCTCCCTACTCTACAAGGACAGTGCCATAAAATTGTAACAGCCTTTTTTGTTCTGTCAAATTGCGAATGCATCATTGGCTTTCTCCTAGCCTTCATTCAGTGTTATTGCTCTCCATACTTTTCCCTCCAGTGAATGCTATTTCCCCCCTGATAAATTAGTGTACCATTTTCCAAGAGCTCCATCTCACTTATTTCCTGCCCATATTTCTAAGCTCTCTAGGGCTCTTTGTATTCTTTCTCTTGCTCTCATTTGTGTTCCCCTACCCTCTCCTCTCAACTTAATGTTATCTACATATTTTATTAACCAGCTGTTTTATTCCCCCTCGCACATCACAAGCAGAGATGCTCCGTGCAATGAGAGCTACCCGTTGTCGCTATAGGGAACGTATGAGACACAAGCCCCTTGCCTATTATTATTCCTTGTTTGCAGTCCTTCAGACAGTTCCTGTGACGGTATTTATGTCTAAGCCAATGGGAGATAATATTTTGAGAGGCACTTTATCAAACGCTTTCCTGACTCCCAGCTCTTTGATGCCTGCTGCTCTCCCTGCTCTCATTCATTTTGTAGTTCTGTCGACTTTATATGCATTTTTCTCATGGACTTAGTCTTTGTAAACCCATGGTGCTCCTTGCATATGTTTCCATAAAGAGATCTGTGTAGTTCTCGGGACGTTATAGGGAGCGCCATGAAAAGATACCTTTGAAAGCCAGCACAAAAGCTCCAGTTGCGTTCAGAGCTCTAAAGCTGTTTCCAAATAATGAGATATGCCATACTGTTTGACTGGGCTTGGGGAGAATAACTCTAGATAAACATTAGGAGATAAAAGAGATCACCTTCCCCTTTATGCATTTCTTTGTGTTGTGTGAACTGTTTTCCAGTGGGGATTGAATGACATCTTGTCTCATACAGAAGGCAAAAGAAGTCATTAACTCTGCTAATTGTTGAAGATAAAGAGTAAAAGGCGATGACAGTTTGCTTTGTGTGTGGTTAAACTTGTTAAATGCATAAATGAAGCAATTCTTTTAATTCTCATTTGATTCATTGCTATTACGGTATTCCACCATGCCAGCACACTAGCCGTTTTTTTTACTCCACTCAATTTGAATTTAAAGTATACCTTTTCTTGTTATACACATTAAGTAAATAAAATAGCATTGAGTACACAACACCTGATGTTTTAATTTGGTATTGCATTATACAACATCCTTTGAGTGTACACAGTATGAACACATAGTTTAGTAATGCTTCTCTAGAAAGTTGATGAGTAGTATGACTTGATCTGATTTGCTGTAAAGCCACAGTACAAGTATACACAAACATAGTAGAAATACGTGGTTTTGGCCAGCTAGGATATTTGGGGGTTTTTGTTTATAATTGAGTTTAATTTACATCCATTTGCTTTTGAGAATATGTGAACATACTTAAAGCACCTTGAAGGTTATATGTTTAATTAGATTTAATTAGATTGTTAAAGAATGTTGTACTGCAAAATGGATGGGAGTTGAGGCGTCAGGATTTTCAGCTGCATCAGGATTCACTGCATCAGGATTTTTGGCTATCAGCTGTGTGCAAGGAGGATGATAGTATTGTCATACGTGTCCTGGCACTGACGCTTAGAGATAGCTGTTGTGTGTGTTCAATGTGAATGTCACCCTGAACCTTTCCCTGACTCTTGCACCTGAGCAGCGTTAAATCTGCTGTATTTTGGGGTGACTGTTTTGCAGAAAACAAGAAAAATAGACACTGATACTTGAAATTTTGTGCATGGCTATTGAAAATCATCAATACCTATTTTGTACTAAGTGCAAGTGCGCTACATACTGAGGATGAGTGAAGTTTAATCCCTGATTTGTAAAAGCACTTGGGATCTCAGCTGAACCTTGCCATTTCTGGTCTATACTAGCATACAGCTACTATGCATGCAACATTTCTCAGCTTTCACAAAGAAAGATCTGAGCCTTCTGCCAGGACTTTTCCTGTCCTATCCCCCAAGTATAGTTAAATCTGTTGGTATAAAAACAAATAGATTTGTACTTCTGGAAATATGCCTTTCCCAACATAATAATAGTATCAATCTGTGACTTTCTTTAAGACTTAAGAGCTTAGAAAGACTTGAATTCTTGGCATAGTTTCTAGTCAAAATGCCCTGTTTCTATCTCTACCAGCTCAGAGAGGAGCAGTTCAAATGGCGTCCTACTGGCAGGTGACAGGTCCGTGGCTGATGCACCCTGTGCTCCCAAGAGCGCTGACATTTTTTCTCCCCTCAGCGTTACGTACATTATAGAAAATTTTGGATTCTGTTCCACCAGTGAATATTAGCACATAGCAGAAGAAACTACAGCATCAATGCACACCAACCTCTCCTCCATGCACTTTAGGACTTTAGCTCCTGTCTCACAGGAGCCGATCCAGTATTTTGAAAGGTAAACTAACTTGCTAAAAAAAGCTTTGAAGCCTTCAATGAACATCTCCTTAGAGATGTTATTCCCTCATTTAAACTCACAAAAGTCTGTTGCCATCTAGCAGCTAGCTGGCTGTACAAGTTCTTAGAGAAGTCCTGCAGGTCTCACTTTCCCCGCTGGCTCCCTCCCTCATGTTACGCGTAGGGCTTTTGCATGGAACTAAGAACTGCATATACGCTTAGAGTGCAAAAAACAAATGGGCTTGGGGGAATTAGTTCAAATGGTGCCTATACATTTAGGATTTTTAGGGTCGAGGGTAAGAAGTGCACAGGCTAAGGTCCAAATTCCCAATGAGACATACACATAGGTCATGATATTCATAAATTCAGAATCTTGTTTGGCAGAAAATAATATAGCAGAACATGAATGTATAAAGCATAAGTATTTTGTTATAGGATTCCTTAAAAATAGTTGCTGGTAAAACAAGATGTCCAGTACAAACAAACAATCTTATATTTAATCAGTCCTTTGTTAATTTAGTCACTCTCAATTTCATCAAGTAGAGACTATATCCCCAGAAATTCCTCTGACAAAGGGGTCTCCCAAAATCTGGAAGATTATCCAATTACAATTTAAAGAAATGTGCAGCAAGGATGACTGGCTAAAGATAGAAGTCTCTGAGGAAAAGAGCACGAAAGAGTATGAGGGAGTGTGTGTGTGAGCGCAAGCACTTCACTTTCTCTTATAAGTAAAGTGAGGGGAATTATACCAGCGCTTAAGTTTTGTGGTAAGTGGAGTCAAGGTCCCTGGTGTCAGGTTTGGACCTGCCTGCTCTCCTTCATTTCTTCTCTTCCACTCCTCTCTTTTTCTATGTGCATACCCTGTGCCTATATGAAAAACTGACATTGATTCTTAAGGAGTTTTTCTAGATTTACATGTGTTAACAAAGAAGGGGCTCTTGACTTAGAAGCTCTGTTTGGGCAGTACAGGCAGAGAATAAAGATCGCTGTTAATCCCAGGCTGAGTCAGGGGAGCGGTGGATGTCGTCTTCTCCTGCGAACAAAAGGGAGATGCCAAAGAGCCATTACCTTGGAAATCCCACCCAGAGCAGGATCATCAAGAGCTAACAGCTCCTCCTAGGCTCTTCTAGGAGGAGTTGTCCACAGAAGGAGGCTGTATTTTCATGCCTGGAAGGAGAACTGCATGATGATGCATTCCCATCCCACGCCCATCGAAAGTACTGTGCTCTCTGAGCTGGCACAGGACACTGCCCAATTTGAGATTGAAGGATGATCAAGTCCATTTACTCTTCTTTATCACTAACATCTCTCGCCCCATTCACCCTTAGGCATGGCTGAGCTAACCTTGCTGTTTAACCCTTGCAGCTTTGGATCTGACCTTTTCCTTCAGCCAGCACAGCTGTGAAGCAGTGGATTGCCTGGATGCAAGCTGGCAGCTCTGCGCTGCATGCTTCAGAAGCTTCCAACACCAAATTCCTGTGTCCCATCATTTGCTTCTTTACCAGTCCTGTGTGTTGTATCAAAAACTCCTGTCAGCCCCATTTTATGTTCCCAAGTCTCCCAAGTCAATAGGCTCAACCTGAGGTCTTGTTTAGGGAAAGTCACACTACCCTAGACCCTCATTATTCACTCTGTTATCAACCAGGATTCTGCTGTTCACAATGTTACATCATAAAAATGACCTTTTAAGACCATTTTAGAAGGTCTCTTTCCCCATCTGCTTTTTCTTGTCCTCCTCCTACATCCATTTTGGCACCCAAAACTTTTCCTTAATTTTTCTTGCACAGATAGAGAGAAATGGGAGATCAGGAAGATCTTTGCCTTCTGTACGGTTTAAAAGTCTTCTTCCATTGACTTAACTGGCTCTACACCCTTCCAGAGGGTAAAAATGTCAGGGATTTCTTTTTGCTGCTGGTGTCATTCTGTTTTTAGAGCCCAGTGGAGTCCTAGGCCACTGCTGGAGCTCTGGGACTGTGGCAATGTAGAAGGCAACTGTGGATTTGAGTCACAGCATTTTACATCTGGATGTGTAGTGCATGTGGAAATGATGACTTACAAACCAAGGGATCCCAAAGGATCATTCTCTGCATCAGCAGTATGCCAAGTTTTTAAGCGCAGTTGTCCACCCCTTCAGCTGCGCTGATACAGCAGCTTGCAGACACTGACAAAAAAGCTCAGGTTAAAATAATGTCCCCCCAAAACCTTTTATGCTGGGTTATTTCCGCGATCCAGCTTAGAGGGTGGTCTTATGAGTAGGGAGGAAGGAGAAACGTGCCAAACTGTGGAAGCCAGATGAAAGCAAGCAGCCAAAAGAGGGGGGGAGTCTGAAGGTGAGGAGCCCCTCAGCCTGGCTGTGCTGCCAAAGCCCTCTGAGGCTCTGGGTCTCTGGTAAGCTGTCTCCAGGTCTCTCCTTGCTGACGTGAAGCACAAATAGACCAGAACTGAGTGGGAGGAGGGATGCTCTGGAGTTCCCAAAGTTTGCAGGAAGGCAGAGGAGAGGCAGCCAAGTGTTACATTCGGAGTGCATGTCTTCTCTGGCCAGGGAGGGGACAGTTCCCCTCAGCTCTGCTTCCAAATCTATCAATGCCAGCGGCAGCCTGGAGGCAGCCCGGCTGTCGTGAGCAAGTGTGACTCACTGCTGCACACACTGCTGAATTATTTGGGGTGGGTGGGCAGTATTTGTCACACTGTCGATGAGGATTTGGCTATGTTAAGCAAGCACATAGGCTGTCTGGGCTGTTGGGTCAACCTTTGCTATATACACAGAGGTCTATGACTTAAACTTACTGGAACAAGACAAATGTGGCAAGGACAAAAGCATTACACACACAGAAGACAGAAAAGACACTGCACCAGTGCTAAATAATGAAATTTATTGCAGTAGATGCCGCATCAAAAGCTGAATGATTCTTAAACTTCATTCACAACCTGTCTAATAAGACCTATGATGAGTATTACAGTCTGGGACTGAGTGTTTAAAAGTGCTCCCTTGACATGTGCGCTACTTAAAGGAACACTCAAGTGATAAATTTGTTTTCCAGTGCTTAAGGGAGATTGAATGTTCTCCTGCTCACGCAAGAAGTCCCTGATCTTACTGCAGATGCAAAACAGACCCCGCTTTGCTGTCATTCTGAAACAAGGGAGGGATGAAATCTCAGTCTTGTAGCATGGAGTCTCTCTGAGTTAATAATAAAGTGTTAATAATGAAGATTTGTCTTTCTCCAGGAAGGAAAAACAATGAGAGGCAGGAGGAAAAAGGTATACTCATGGACGGGAAGAATTTTCTAAACTTACAAAGGGAATCAGCAACACAACTCCAACTAATCACACTAGGCTAAATACCCAAGCCAGACCTCTAGGTTGTACACAGATTTAGACAAAAGCAAATTCAAATGCTGTACTGATGACTTTTTGCCCCACAAAGAATCTTTTAATTTCTGATGGTAATGGATGCTACCTAAGTGTGGAAGAGAAATACAATATACTGATTTTAATGCAAATGGATTTTTTCAGACGAAAGGCACTGCATAAAAAGTAGAATGGCAGTGCTGTAAGTATTCTGGCTGTGGTACGTTTACTTACCATTAATTACTGACATGTATTTTTTCAGTTAAGCAATGCTTTTACACTTTCAAATCAACTTCTGTTCTTTCAGTGCTGTTGGAAATTTGAAAATTGCTGAAGTTGACGCAGGCGGTCATTTTGTAAAGATCCTGAACTGTGCCCCTGAAAAAGAGGAAAGCATTGGGGATTATCTCTTGAAGCAGGACGTCCAAGGTCAACCAGTGGCTGTATTTCGGTTTCCCCCCGAGACCAGGATGGGGCCCAACTCCACCGTGACAGTGAGTGTGGGGGGTTTGAGTGCGTTTTCTCAGCTGGCAGACTAGGGTACACTCTTCCCCTCATGGTACAGAGTCAAACTTAGGTCTGTATTTTCAGAAAGGCTAACACATGAATAATGATGAAATCAGAAGAAGCTGCTAATGTCCATTATCAGTACAAGCCTGACATTTGAATTACACGTCCAGCATTTCATGTTGCCCAGCAATGGGAAGCTATCCTGGAAAGTCCTTGTTTGATACATTCCTTTTTCCAACCATTGCTCCCATAAAAAGCATGCTGTCAGAATACTGAGTTGTGCCAGTGTTTGCCAACAGAGGATGTGAACCTTGGATCAGAAACCCACAAATAATAGAACTGGAAAGGAAACCAGTTTTATGTGTTGCTTCTGAAGCAATTAATATGGTTTTGTGTAGTCTGAGGTATCACTATAGTAGGGTCTTAACTGAAAATAAGAAGGAAAATGATGTTGCTTTCCAGACTGTGCCCGCTATCTGAGGACAGCTGTTATCCAGCAGAGAAAGCCATAAACCACTGTTCTGGCAATGGGGCTCTGTTCCTGGCTTTGCCTTGGATGACTTTAGGCAAAATGATGACACTCTGTGCCTTAGTTTCCTATTCTGTAAAAGGAAGATAATGATGTGCTCTTCTTTGGTGTCGTGCCAGAACTATACGTTAAAAATTCAGTGCATGGGCTGCTGCTCTTCAGAAATGACCTCCCCTCCACCTAGTTCAGATGTATCTTTTTGCCAGTTTGAATAAGAGTTAGAGAGGTAGGTAGGATCTAAGATGCAAAGAGTCAGATGACTTCATCATACCCCAGAAAAGCTTTAAATAGAAAATAACAAATATATGCATCTGATATCCATGGTAATGAAAAAGGCTTGAACGTGTGAACTAAATGTGACCAAGGCTCAGTTGTAGGTGTAGCTGAGGAACGTCTGCTGGTGTCTGCACGTGGCCTCCAGCAACGTCGGGGATGTAACCACACTCAGAGCTGGCACAGCCTCTGCTATACTGGGTAAAGATGCTGGCTGCTTGGTTGGCTGCAAGACACTTTGCAGTTTCCTCTTAGTTGGCTTTGACGCACCAACTGTTCCCACCCACCCCAAAAGCAGTCCTTTCTGAAGTGCTCTGATCAGTGCTGAAGTCATCGACAAGGTTGCTGTTCCCATTGTCATTAAAGGGCTCTTGGGTGAACAACTGGCTGAGGTAGAAGGTCCACCACACCTTCTGTTTCAGCATATGCAAGCAGAAAATTTCTGCTGGTTTATTAATTTCAAAAGGGTCGTATTCATGCTGCCAAGTCTTGCATCTAAAATCCATGTACAATAGGGTCTGTGTCAGACAGCCAGCTAGGCAGGACTTCCAGGCCCCAGCTCCCTGTGAGAGCAACAGATGAACCAAAGTGAAATGCTCAAGTTAGATGCCAGTGTAGATGGTTGGAATATGGCCTGAAGCCTCTTTTACCACCAGTGCTTGTTTCTTTTTTTGAGATGAAAATTGAGGCCTCTCAGAATAAAGGAGGCAAAATCCATGTTCATCACCAAGCTCAATGCAGCCCTGTGTGAGCCCTTTTAAAGAAAGCTGGAAATGCAAGCTGGTGGGGGCCCAGAAGAGCCACAGTCGATGCCGTCTTCTGGTGTATGTGTGGAAAAACCACAAATGCACCTTGGCAGAGTGCCGTATGGTGAGCACTTTTGGAAAAGAGCATTTTATTTTTTTCAAGATACTTTTTTCAAATTAAATGAGAATTGTTTTGGCTCCCAGGAAATGGCTGAAGCCATTTTCTCACAGATGGCAAATGCCAAATCCTTTAGGAACACTGTTTGCAAAAGCGTGTTGTGGTTGTCTTATGTAAGAGAAATGTTTTCATAACTGGTCCTTTTGCTACCGTGTTAGTGATAAAGGTCACAGATAATTGTGTTCACTTTATATATAAAGCACAATGTTGTTAAATCTTTTGTATGAGGATAAAAGTACAAAAAATTTTTAGTCCCCAGCAGGAACATCTTCTCCCTGAACAGAGGGAATTCAGAATCAAGCAGAGACTGGCATTTTAAAGCTGATATCACAGATCTCTTCCAGAGTTCCCCTGGTAATTCAGAAAATAAAGGAAACTGCCTATTTTTAATCTTACTCTCAGCAAGCCAGACCAAAAAGCCCAGGATTTACTATCACACCTTGAAAAATGTGCCTTTGCTAATCTCTGCTAATCCACAGGAGAGGTACTTGAAAATAATCACTATAACTAAGCTGCGAGTCTTGAAATACAGTTCTTTCAGCTTTGATTTCACAGATCAAATGGCAACCAGTGTTACAAAAGTCGAAAAGAAAAAGGAAAACCTGATGGTTTTACTGAGTTCTTATATTGTATAAATACCCAGGAGCCATTTTTCCTTTAATCTAATGACTGCTTGACCTTTGCAGGTTTGGGCAGCAGATGCTAAAGTGCTTCACAAACCTCCCTCAGATTTTCTTTGGAAGGACCTGGAGAGATTTAGGACAAGCCTTGACTGTGCTACCATTCTCTGTGAGCCTAGCGGTCAAGTAAGTGCCCTGAGCAAAATCACCGCATTTCCTTACCCAGACAGCTCTATCACTGGACTTCCTTCAGAGGTTTAGGATGATATTGTTAAACTCCCTGTAGAATCAAGCATGAGCAATCCAAACACAGCAAAGCTGTGACCTCTCTCTGTTAACCTTGCTTCAGTGTGGGTGTTAATTATTAGGATCTGAAGGACTGAAGAAAAACAGTAAATTGATGACACCGCTTGTTGAATGAAAGGCTAACATCCTCACAGTGATCGAAGTAGGGGCTCCACAAGTGTGAACAGCCAGCCCACTGTCCTCTTCCACTGTGCTTCAGCCATGAAAGATCCAGCTATGCCCAGGGCTATTCAGCCCATGGCTGCCCATTAGTAACTGCCATCAGATTGGCAACTGTGTTGAATTCTATCGGGCAAACTTCTGTTGACTTGGGGATGAGAAAGAGCCTGAGATCATTTTTTACCCTATAGTTGTCCGGTGGCAACTATGGTTTTGGTCATTTTTAGCTAGACAAACTTGAACCAGTGACAATATGGAAAAGACCTGTGATTTTCATAAATAGTGTAAGTTACACAGCTTCCCCAAGGCAGCATAATTTACACCTTACAAATTGTTAAGTGAATGTTGACTTTTGGTCTCGCCTTTTCACATTTACTCCTCTTCTAGCTCAATTTGGCCATATTTGCTATTACAACAGTGCCAGGGAATCAGAGGCTGAAAGGGAACTTGAGCCGTGATTACCTCTGCCAGGATTGCTCCTGGCTGTGATTTGCCTAGGTAGTTCTGGAAGTCCTTCAGTAATGGAGACTCCACCATGTCCCCAGGCAATCTGCTTTAGTGCCTCACTCTCTGTATGCTTAGAAAAGCTTTCCTAGTGCCTAAACTGAACTTTTTCCGCCTCAGTTTTAGTTCTTTCCTTCTTGTCCTATCCACTGTGGAAGTGGAGAACAGATTGCTTTTTCTTCCTTCGGCAGCCTTTGACATACTTGCAGAATCGTCATGTCCTCTTTTCTCTCCTTCTTTTCTGGTTTACTTAATTGGAGCAGTGGAATTTCAAGACTCTTAGATGATGAATCTACCTTAAATATATTTAAAGACTGGAAATGGATTTTAAAGACCAAAGAAAAAAATCTGGAACTTGGTGGTTGCCATTAGTATTTATCTTTCAAATTATAGATGACTCATAAATACATTGGAGCGCCTACCCTTTTAGCCCTTCCTGGTTTGTCTACAACAAACAATTATTTTGATGAAAAAACACAGAATATAAATAAGCAGTGATACGTTGGTTTTTTTCAGGCCGTAGCTTGGTGCACTCCTCTCCGTTGGAACAGAAGGCAAGGATGGGTGGCGAAGGAGCAAAGTGAAAACATCGAGAACGTGGTTATACCAACTTTCTCAACAACAAAGCAAAAAGAGGGATGGGAAAAGGAACAGGAATTCACAATAACTGATACAGAGTGGAAGATGGCTGATCCAAGGCAAACAGGAAAAAAAAGACAAAGCTTCATTAAAAGGTATCTGATGTTCATTGAGTGTACTCTGTAATTACAGCATTGTGCCAGACTGGCTCTGTAACTGAACACTTTAAAATGAGCATCTTGGTAAGCAATTTTTGCAAAGCTTTGGAATTTTGAAAATAAGAATTAACCTTAGCCTTCAAGCAGGAATCCGGCCCAAAACTTCTGATAGGAGTGCATTCATTGTCACTCAAGACTAAGTGGAAAGTAAAATTCAAGTAAAATTCTTCTTAAAATGTGACTTATTATTATTTATTATCCTTTCAGCCCCAAGAGTTTGGATGGCACCATTCGAAGTCCATGAGCTGGAAAATTTTCAGCCAAAAATGTTGATGTTCACAGAACTATTTACCTTTTTCTTGAGAACAAAGGCCTGAACATGGTCTTCTCTCGGGCCACTGCACTTTGAACTGAGCTAGGGACTGATAACCATTGCTTTCTAAATTACTTCAGAACTGGCTTCTAACCTTTGTATCAACTTAAACTTCGCAGCCCTGTGAAAAAGCGTGGTTCGCTGGTCTAGCTGTGGACAGTTTAGTTTGGGCACCCAGGTCTCAGTCAGGAACCCCTGAGCTGAACCGTTGACTGTTTTGAATAAAGAATACAATATTGATGTTTTTTTCTAAGTCACATCCAGAATATTGGTTCCAGGGGCTCTTGAGCCAGGTTCACAATAGAAAAGCATGTGCGGAGGAATTGATGTATTTCAAAAATAAAGGATTAGCCAATCTGGATATATTTCCACAAAAAAAGTGGGTGAACCTTCTCATGTTTGGGGTAACTGCTCTTCTCTAAATTTCTTCTCCAGACTGTAGCTGGAGATGTTCAGAAGATAAACAGTTTTCAGCATAGGTTAAACCAAGCAGGGAGAAATTAAGTAAAAATTCAGCGCAAAGAGTTCAAGTTTGGCAGAATTATAACCAATGGCAAATGGTAAATTATAATATGATATGTCAAACAATATAGAAGTTGCAGTTCTTCCACCTACAGCTAAATGCAGAATGTGTCAAATATGTGTGCTCTTTGTTAGGTTTATCGCATGAATTTAATGTATGTGTGCAGTAAACACAGTAAATCTATGCAAAATACGATAAATATGATAATGCAATACAATAAATAATGCAGTAATAAATACAATATACATATTTTTATATCCTGTGCACATACATGCATGTGCAAAACGTGTGAAATACACACAGTAAACTTAATTGAATTTCTACTTACAGGGAAAAAAAGACCTCTGCATCCCTCTTCCCTAATCAGAGTGCCTGGTGCCAAAGTCCAAACTCTCCCACACACCCTCACTTTTCTTTGGTTAGACCATTAACCATGGGGAATGATGGCAGCAGTTTGTGCAGGCAGTCCCGGTGTCAGTCATCACGGCCTGACCCTGTGCCAGGTGAGTTCAACAGCAGATGCAGTATATGCTGTAGCATGCACAGTGGCAACGGGGTGGATTTTCTGACACAAATAGCTTAGGACTTAAGATACATATATATTACCACCTCTTACTTCTATAGCGGTGATCTGCAAACTTTTTTAATTGTGCACCCCATTGGTAAAAAATTTTTGAACACACACTCCCAATATATGTGCATTTATTTATTTGTAAATTACATACTTTTACTACTGCAATAATATATTAGGTACATTATAAAACATACACACAAACAGAAATTTAAAAGGATGAGATAAAGGTGAAAAAATACTATTTTTAAAGTATTTTTAAATTTAATTTTATTTATTAATATTACAAAAATATTTTCTTCCCACACCCCAATGCATTGTCTTGCATTCCCCCTGGAAGACCACTGCTCTATAGAACTGCCTATGTTGGTAAGATGTGAGGAGGCTATTGTTACTAATACCGATGCATTTAGGAAATGAAACAAAATATTATTAGGAATCAGTAAGAGAAAGAGACTCTTATATTGGCTGTGAATTGTTAAATAGGCAGTGGTGAGAAAGTCAGTGTGTAATTTGGGTACGTCAAACCCAGAAAGCTGTTGACACACTGGAAAGAGTTCAGCGGGGGATGACAGAGTGAAAAAGCGTCTGAAGAGATTGATTCATGAAGATTAAAGAGACATAAATCCGTGTTGGACAAGCAAGGTGATCATTGTGCGAGGGGGTTCAAGCATCACAGCAAGAGAGGAAACAGTCTTAGATCCAGGAAGCAGAACTAGAAGGAATGGGACCAAATGAAGCACAGGAAGGCTTAGGCTGAATATGTAAATAAAAAGGAGGTTTAATGATATATAGTATAGTCTTCCAGTTGTGCTCGTTGCTCCACTTAGTATTTTAAACCACTGGCAAGTTTTAAGTGTTCAGCTGCCATTAGTTTTAAAGTAGGTATCCAGCTCCTGAAGACAGCTTTGTAACACTCGTTCTTTCTTTAGTGAACATTTAAACCAGACTGGACAAATTATTTGAATATACTAAGGAGGTCACCCTGTGACTGGCATGGATAGGTGACTGTGCAGTTGTCAGGAGTTTTTCTCCATTTCTAGGAGTGCCAGCCTAGGAAAAACCTCTCAGCTTGAGCCTGGAAAGCGTTTATGCACCTGCTTAACTTTACACACTCACATAGTAATCCTGCAGCCAGGGAGGACTGTCAGGAAGATCCTTCTCAACTGTTAAATCCAGGCAAAGCAGATTAAATCCTGATGGAGTCAGTTGTAACAGACCTAATTTCATGGTTTCCTGCTCTGTCTTAATCACTGGTAGCATCAGCTACCGGGTGTCTATTTTGTGTAATCCTGGTTTGTCTAATTTGCTAAAACTTAGTTTGTCTTGTTCTGTGTCACCCTGGTCTTCTTCAGAGCTGGGTCCCCCATATCTGTTCTGCTGGTTTCCTGGGCAGGGAAAAGCCGGGGACAGAAAGGGAATCGGCACCTGCCAGGTGGGGCTGCTGGTGGCATCAGAGGTTGTGTTCACATGAGCAGATGCTGTGGACAAATAGGCGCAGGTCTGTAGAGCAAACCCCTTGGTGCTGCAGACCTGGCGTCCACCCTGTACACGCTTCAAAGGTGATTTACTTCATCCCAGCTCTAGGCTGGTACAACGGGCCATGAGGGGGCACCTGCCTCTGCATGGTGTAGGTCCTTTTTGGGTATGAAACTTCCCAAAGCGTTAGCCCACTCATGCTCACCACTGGACTGGACAAAGCGGTTTCCGTCTGAATACCTGCTTGCAGCCAGGGTGCTTGAGGTTTGACTCCAGAGGACATCTTCTGGCTCGGTTTCATTCAAGAGGAAGCCAGCTTGTGCACTTGATAGTGCTCCATGATGTGAACCTGAGCACAGCGAGGCGGGGGAGTGGCAACTCCGCTCCACGGGTGCCCTCCTCCTCAGACCCAAAGCGCTACGGACGCACGCAGGACATCCCCCAGTACTTCTCCCAAGCCAAAGGGAGTTGCTGCGCGCAGTCCTCTCTCCTACATTCCCATCTTTTGTCACACCTCCGCAGATGGAGGTCAGTGCCACGAGCTACATTTGGTTTCAGTTTTCAAGTTTTTTTCCTTGCAACTGTTAAGACTAAAAACTTTTTCAACAAAGCAAGCAATATGAAACCAAAACAAAACACCTCTGAGACTGTAATGCAACCACGTTGTTCCAGGACCCAGGCACAGGGAGAGGGCCTGCCTGCAAATTTATTTCCTGAGTGTGGGAACTCCGAAGGCAGAACTCAAAGCAAGGTGGTCTGTCACACATTAAATGTATCTGATTTTCTGTAGGTTTTCACATGCAGCCTGGATACCCTCAGTCTCTCTTTCTCAGATCTTTGCAAAAGATAATTCAGCTCTATTTACTTATGGTTCATTTGCAGTCCTTTTCACTACTGAATTATGAAATTATTTCTCTTAATAGTGCTAGGAAAGTTAATAATATCCAAGATCTCAGATTAAAAATTAAATATGGGTATAACCGTTATTTTCTTCTGATAAATATTCATGTGTAGTAGATATTACCGCCAGATTTTTCCAGAAACGAATATATAGAGAGATGTAAGCATCATTCTTATTTTATTACAACGCAAAAATCACAAGTGCTTTAGGCACATTTATACAAGTATGCTACTAGACATTATTACTGATGGTAGTGGAATGATGATTTTCAAATATATGATGGAATGATGATTTTGAAATGTATGACTACTTTCTTTTTTTCTTTTTTATTTTTCTCTCCTTGCTTACATTTTTTTAACTAGCAGGCTTATAACTGACATGAACAACTGGGGTCCACAGTAATATGCATAAAAGCAGTCTTGCTTAGGTTCTGGTCCAAGAAAGCTTCCCTATTCAGTAAGGACTCTTCAACTTGTTCATAAATACTCCATAATATCAGAGACTTACAGAAGTCAGCATTGTTAACTTATTTGTTTTCCTCTGCAAACACACATTTAATCACTGTTATCTTTAAATATGGATAGTTATTTTCCTAATGCTATAAGAGCAAAGTTAGGTTAACACCTTTGAATTAAATCAGTGATTCAAAGTATTTTTTCATTTTCCTCTTAGATACTTAGTTTTGCTTTTAAAAATCAGTTTAGTGTATGCTCATATTTCAGAAGTACAAAAGCCCACTCAAAACTGCAAAGAGATGGGCCTCACAGATTATACTGATTGATGGTATTTACTTATTAGCTTAAAGTATTTAGTTTCTCATACATCTGTGGTATTCTGTCTAGCTCCTAGCTCTCCTCTATAATAATCAAACACTATCTTTTCAGTGTCTTTCGGGGGATGTTAATAGCAGCAGTCCACAAAGTATGTTTAGTGGCATGATTGTGTTTTGAGAACTGTTTGCCTCTCCTCTCCTCATGCAGCTCAGCGTTTTACCTTTCTAGCTGCTACAGAACAGGATTTTCACTACCCGGTTCCAGTGACTCCTGTGGCTTCACTTCTGAGTTGTTGCAGTTGATAAGACGGTGGTAGGGTATGTGGTGGCTGTTCCTTTCAG